TGTGTGTGTGTGTGTGTGTGTGTGTGTGTGTGTGTGTGTGTGTGTGTGTGTCCATTGTCTAAACGTATACACATGCTCTATCAATGTAAGCTTGTGTTTGTTACTATAGCCCTATATAAACAGTATATAATAAAATATTGTATAAAAAAGTCATATATAATACCAGTTGTTATATACAAAAAAAATGATAGATAGCATCACACGTACAAGTGGTGATGACAGGCGTGCCAATATATCCACTAGCAAGCCTCAACAGTTGGCAAGCCTGGCGTCAACACGACAAAGCACCGCGAATTTACGATAAAAAAAGCCTCTATTTCCATTATTTCTAGTACCCGAGGGTTAATTTTACTTCCAAGCATCATTAGTTAGATAAATATGACCACCAGAGGCATTAACCGTGTCTATTAGAGGCTGTGGGAAATTCAATGGCTCTGGTCTAGTTGATTTAACTGCGCATGGATAGAATATTCAAGTGACGTAACTAAACGCTTCTTTGTATTCTAATTACTTATAGCTGTAACGATAGGAATAGCTAAGACACTGTAGACCTCATGTATACCCAGTTACAGGTAGTCATACATGTATATTGGGTATGTATCATGGTATTAGAATGTATGTATCTGTGAGTGCATGTTTGCTTTACTTTCTATGTATCTGTTTGTGACTTGACTATTGCAGTGTGTGTGTGTGTGCACCTCGCCAGTATCGCGTGGACCTTAGTGCAAGAGAACGACCAAGGGTGCACTAGAACCACCCCCCCCTCTCCCTTCCCAACCCCCCACACACCATCCCTCCTCTTCCTTACCCTTCCCCCACCTTCCTCTCTACACCCTCCTCCTCATCCTCCTAAACCATACCCTCTTCCATTTCCTTCCTCCCGTTCCTCCCCCTCCTCACCTGCCATCTGTCTGAAACACGGCTCCCTCACCTCCCACCCCCATCACCTCCCTCACCCTCCTCCATCACCGACCAATCCAAATTTTTCCTTCTCATTTCCTTCCAGAATTTATCATCGCTTAAAGTAAAACTATTTCTCAGCTAACACAACCCTAACCTACCCTAACCTAATCTAACCTACCCTAACCTAACCTAACCTTACCTAACCTACCCTAACCTAATCTAACCTACCCTAACCTAATCTAACCTAACCTACCCTAACCTAATCTAACCTAACCTAACCTAACCTAATCTAACCTACCCTAAGCTAATCTAACCTACCCTAACCTAACCTAACCTAATCTACCCTAACCTAACCCTAACCTAACCACACCCAACAAACTGGATTATTTATACTAAATTTACCTTCACAACATTTTCTTATCTCACCTGGTTAATATTTTAGGTTAGTTTAGGGTAGGTTAGGATAGGTTAGGGTAGGTTAGGGTAGGTTAGGGTAGGTTAGGTTAGGGTAGGTTAGGGTAGGTTAGGTTAATCTTTAGGTAAAATAAGCTGGGGTTGAGATTCTTAAGGTAATCCATTCTTTTTAGGTCAAGTCCTGGTGTTGTGAGTACTAGGTATGGAGTGTGTGTGTGTGTGTGTGTGTGTGTGTGTGTGTGTGTGTGTGTGTGTGTGTGTGTGTGTAGGGTGCGTGCTGGTGCTGGATCAATGTGCGTGGGGGCAGCAGCGGGAGCAGTGGTGGCAGTGTTCATTCACAGTCCCTCTGGGTCAGATAGCGACGACACACACACACACACACACACACACACCACTCCTTTCACCCCTACTCCTCCCCTCACCCCCCTCACCTGCACTAATTGCCTGGTCTGCCCCCCTCTCCTCCACACCTGCACTACACCTCCCTCTCCTCCACACAGGTACACTGCCCTCAATACTACTCAGCGAGAATTGTACAGTTGACTGAGAATAATGTCCCATTGTACTGTACACTGTATCACTGTACACTGTAATATACGAGTTAATTTACTTCTTTTATATGACATTAATAACGGTCCAGTACACACACACACACACACACACACACACACACACACACACACACACACACAGTATAATTGTCTAATGAATGGCACTCAACCAGGTAAGTGCCACACGGTGCTCACAAGAGATAAACAAGGTCATACTATCCACTACTCCTGAAGCCTGAGAGTGACACACGTGACCTTTGACCCTTACACAATACATCCCAGCCTAGGTCATGAAGCCACCACCACAGCAACAATATAACCTTTCACCTGAGACGTTTCAACCCCTAACAAATTATATAACATGGCGGTATCATATCTCTCAGCCCAGTCTATCAGTACAGATTAGCCATTTGAGTCCTGAAGGGTGAAATTATCGTCCTTAAAGGGTTATACATTCATCGTCAATGGGTTAATTAATTCGGACACAAGTTTACCTGCTCGGTACGACTCACCTGTGCCTCTCAGGTCAATATAAACAAGTGACAATTAACACGTAACTAACATACAGTAAATACACGTACAAAAACACTGACACACACACACACACACACACACAGTATCTGCAGTCGGTGAGGGTGCGGCTGCCGTGTCTGGTTCATGACGTAGAAAACACGAATAATTGCGTGTGATACTGTCCACACACACACACACACACACACACCTACTCCCCCACCTCCCACACAAACATATCACCCCCCCCTCCCCATTGACCGCCACACCTACCTAGTACCTACCTATCACATTCCCCCCCTCTAACCTACTGAGCTTTCCTACCTACCCATCTACCTCCTTCCCTCCCTCCCTATCTATTTATCTATCTCCACCTCCCTATCTCCTAACCTACCTCCCTATCTCCCTACCTAGTAATTTACCTCCCTCTCTCCCTCCCTTCCTCTTGACCACTGACGTGTGTCGCACCTGATACTACAGTCGTGGTGGTGCACGTAATATCACCACCACCACAATAACACCATCACCACCACCACAATAACACCATATATCAACATCTCACGTGTACATAGCTTATAACCTAACCTACCTGACTAACGCAACCTAATTTAACCTAATTTAACTTAACCTATCCTAACTTAACCTAACCTAACCTATCCTATCCTAACCCAAGAATCTTAGGTCTCTTCCCCGCGTCCCAAAAAGAGTATGAGGTGGGCAGGTCGCGTCCCACAGGAGGGGGTGGTAGTGGATCAGGGGACCTTGTGTGTGTGTGTGTGTGTGTGTGTGTGTGTGTGTGTGTGTGTGTGTGTGTGTGTGTTACAAAGTCCTCGATACATACACATGACCTCAGGGACCAGATACCTTTTAGTGACCTCGTCTTCACCCTCATTTGTAACCTTGACATTCACCTGGTCTAATTAACCCCCAAATCTGACCAGGTGTGTCCTAAGGTTGTAAGTCTTTAAGGTGTGGAGAGTCTCACTGTAGCTAATTGTTCTCGCTGATTGCAGGTATCTTGATGAAATGTGTGTGTGTGTGTGGGGGGGTTAGTGTAGTATGTTGTGTGTGTGTGTGTGGGGGGTTAGTGTAGTATGTTTTGTTATGTGTGTGTGGGGGGTTAGTGTAGTATGTGTGTGTGTGTGGGGGGGTTAGTGTGTAGTATGTTAGTGTAGTATGTGGGGGGTTAGTGTAGTATGTTGTGTGTGTGTGGGGGTTGTGTAGTATGTTGTGTGTGTGTGGGGGTTAGTGTGTACGTTGTGTGTGTGTGTGTGGGGGTTATATGCTGTGTGTGTGTGTGGGGGGTTAGTAGTGTATGTTGTGTGTGTGTGTGGGGTTAGTGTAGTATGTTGTATGTGTGTGTGGGGGTTAGTGTAGTATGTTGTGTGTGTGGGGGGGTTAGTGGTATGTTGTGTGTGTGTGTGTGGGGGGGTTAGTAGTATATGTGTGTGTGTGCTATGTGAGTATGTATGTATGTTAGTATGTTAAGTGTGTATGTATATGTGTTTTATCATGTGTATGTATGTATGTATGTGTTAGTGTATTTTGTGTGTTGCTACATAAGTTAAGCATGTAATATCATTGAGCATAATTAAACAGTTAAAGTATTAATTCCTACTTTCTTCAACACTTTGAGGTCATAACAACAGATATTTTGTTTTAGAGTAATGAAGATATAGATGAATACTCTTCTCTATTCTCCCTTTACTAGTTTTTCCTATATAATAAAATCTTATGTTTTGATTTGGTGCTTGATCCCCCTCCCCTCTCTCACGCCACCCTTTCACTTCACACCACCTTCTCTCTCTCTCTCTCTCCCAATCATCTTTCTCACTTCATCTATCCTCCTCCTCTTCCTCTCTCTCCCATCTTACTCCACCCCCTTCCTTCCCTCTCTCACTCCCTTGGTCACGTGACGGCCGCAGTCTTGATAATTTGCATAACTTTCCAAAGTCAGGAGGAATATGAACGTTCGGCTCCTCGCCCTCCCCCAAACCTACCGCTACCACCTACTTGTGTATCTTGGTCTTAAAACAACAAAATCTCCTCTAATTTCAGTCTACCAGGTACATTAAAGTACATTGTAACAGAGAGCTGAGGAGATCATTCAGATGGTTATATGTGCCTGAAGGAAAGGAAAAAAAAAACATGCGAAAGATATAGGAAAATAACGTCAGGTGTTTTTCGGGGAGATCGATATACCCCGCCTGGCCACACGACCCCGCCTCCACCCCAGCCTCTTGCTCCTCCCACCTCCCCTTCCCCCCTCCTCTTAATACACTCCTCTATCCATCATACAGCCTCCTAGCGTTGGGGTAGATGGCTAGATCGTGGTGTATAATGCATGGGCCGTGTCTAGAGGAGCGTGGGAGAGTGTCGGCGCACCTGGAGAGTTGCAAAACAGACTCCACGTCGTTGCGGTTGACGGGTGTGTGTGGTGGTGGAGCTGGGATGTAGTGCCTCCCTCATCTCCGCCATATGACCATCCACACACTACAAGTCAACTCTCTAAAACTATACTTGTAGGTTAGGTATAAGTCATATGCGTCTTGTACTGTAATTAGATCTACAAATGGTGAACACAGACACGTATAAAGATGTACAATTAAGGCGGGTACTCACCTGGTTTGGTTAAGGTGTGTCCTTTATATCCATCGTGTACGGTCAACGTTATTATTATATTACATCCACAGCGACAATCCTTATATCACCAATGAAGTAGCAATATTTTTCACTCTAATCCCAGAGCAACATATAAAGGAGCGTATATAGGCATCACCGACAAAACAACATCACGGTGCGACCACTGAGAGAGTAACTCGTGCACTGGCCACCAGAGGGCGAGTAGAAGGAGGTTGCCACTTGTGCCGCATGGCTGCCTACATTGCCAGATGTTGCCCGACCACAACAACAAAGCGAAGGTGCAGGGAAAAGTCAAGTCAAATACAATTGTTTCTTTAAGTTTGATTTACGTACGATGTTGACTCAATAATCTTGAACTATTTTCTAATATCAGTGAGGTCATCTTTCACAGAAGGCATTACAAAATATCGATATATTTATGCCACTCAAGCCGGCATTTCGAATTGTCTTCAGCGAAATGGCTATTAAGTTGAAAATTTGTTTTTTTTAGATAAGGAAACGTATCTTACACCATGTGTGTTTGTGTGTGTGCGTGCGTGCTTGGGCATCGGTTATCTTATCTCCAATATTACGTCATATCACAGACGAGGAGCACTGGTATGTGTGGAACTCTGGGCCGACACAGGTGTGGCTAGGTCACAGATGTTTCCTGTACCTGTGTGTGTGTGTCACTCCACAGGTGATCTGTTTACCTGTACGTGTCACACCAAACGTTCCTCCTCAACCCTGATGTGTCGCCCCAGAGATAAAGGACCGCGAACTTTAACACGGTACTAAGATAATCATGTAAAACAGTATCCAAACATACATTATACAAACACATACACATTATACACCCCCTTAGGACAAATAAACACGGACGTCAAAGTAAACATGAACCACTTAACACAGATCCATACTCTACTAGACACTGGAACACTCTCACGTTCAACCCGGTCTCGGATTGTGGGGCCATAAAGAAGGTTTGTTGACAGAGGTGATGGTGGACTTTGTGTGTGTGTGTGTGTGTGCGTGTGTGGGTGTGGGTGGGTGGGAGGTGTACCGTTATGCAACTCCACTTGTGTTGTGCCCAGTGCGTGTTTTTATTGGTGGACGGACGGTTAGAGCGGACACTGGCACCCCCGGACATTTTATCTTGATTGGTTAGGACACACACACAGGAGAGAGAGAAATGGCCGATGTAAGATCATAAGGGATCGAAATGTACCGTATTGTTTACTCTGCGATTTTGTTTTTCTTGTTTTTGTTTAGTGTTTACATTGTTTTGAGTGTGTTCTGCCCTCCGATATATTGAACTGTATAGTATAAGCAAAATACGTGTTTATATTTCGATCTTTCAAATACAATGAAGCTAAACAGTTTTGTCTGACACCTGAAGCTAACGAAACCAAGCTAAAATACCTCCTTTCCTCCCATAACCTAACCAAACCTATTATATGAACCTAACCATAATTAACCTCACTAAGCTAAACTATTTCTTCTCCTAAGGTAACGTGATCTAACGAGGCACACCGCTAGTAGCAGAAACCTTGGAGCAACACATGAAATACTGTTGAGTCTCCCCCACTACAAAGTCTAAGTCGTCTTCCATTTTCTGTGATGCGTCAATGATATTCAAGATTTATTTCGGCTAATTTAATTAAAATGCTCGATTCTCTTACTTCAGGATGTCTCTTCCTGGGAACATTTATACACACACACACACACGCACACACTATATATATCACACAAAACGCATACATACAGGTACACATACATACACACAATACATATATCATACAATACACAAACATACATACACCAATGCTTTCATAGAGATACTTAAACTTCTTGTATGTTTTTATGTATAATTAATGAGAAAAAATATATATACGAAAACCCTAGAGAGACCAATGGAGAGTTTCCTTGTGTACACTGAGTAAATGAAATGGTTCGCTGAAAAACTCTCACCAGCAGTTTTAATTATGTCCCAGTATCTTCGTAGGTTTAGGTTAGGTTTAGTTGGGTTTAGTTTAGTTACGTGCTGTTAGGTTAGGTTTGGTTTAGGTTACGTTTAGGTTTGGTTTAGGTGAAGTTGGATTTAGTTAGGGAACGTTAGGGTGTCTAATCTTCATCAGGAGAAATAAACTAGGGTGTGTTTAATCTCCAGGTGATCCGAATTCTTACGTATCTGTTGTCGAAAATTTACTTCATGCAAAAACCAATGAGAGACAGTGAGGTGTATTTCCCAGAACACAATCATGTCAACATAACCTTCTCGGCCGGACCTGTACCACACTTTCATGTTTTGGTCTTAGTGTGGAGTCATTCTCGCCACAATTACCTGACTTGTGAGCTCCTGTGTAGTGGCGGGGAGGTGGGGAGGAGGTGTGGGGGTGGGGAGGTGGTCGGGTGGTGGGTAGGGGAGGTATCCGTGTGTCTCGTGCTGGTAATAATGGTGGTAGTAACAGTAGTAGTGGTAGTAATAGTAGTAGTGGTAGTAATAGCAGTAGTAGTAGTAGTAGTGATAATGATAGTGGTAGTGGGCTATCAAGGTCAGTGGCCACAACATCCTCCACTGGAACGGTAAAAACGTCTACGATAACTTTTCTTAACTGAAGATAAAGCAAAACAACAACATTTAGTTACGGTTGATCCCGGGTTACGTAAAATATAACTTGAGAGGGAAACTATTTAATGACACTCACAAACTCCTCATCTGCGAGACGAAGAGTGCGGGGAGATATGATAGAAGTATTGAAGTGGGTAAAAGGAATCAATAAAGGCGATATAGATAAAGTTCTTATAATATCCGAGCAGGATAGGACTTGTAGCAACGGATTTAAGTTGGATAAGTTTAGGTTTAGGAGGGAGATAGGAAGGAACTGGTTCACAAATAGGGTGGTGGACGAGTGGAACAAGCTTAGCAACTTTGTAGTAAGTGCTGGAACACTGGAAAGCTGGAAAGTTTCAAAAGGAGACTGGATAGATTCATGGATGATAGAGAGTGGTAGTAACTCGACAGGAGCTGCCATGCACAGGCCAACCGGCTTATTGCAGACTCCTTATTTTCTTATGTTCTTATGTTATATTACGTTTGATTAGGTTAAGTTAGGTTACGTTAAGCCAGGTTAAGTTAAATTATATTAAGTTAGGTTTAAGTTACAGGTAGGGTGTTTAATCATCATATGAAATACGCAAGGGTGCGGGACAGCGGGGCTAATGCTTGCGTGTTCCGAAAAAATAAAAAAAGGTTTTGTTAATCATACGTAAATACCAATGGAACAATAAAAAAATTGTATTACTGTTGACCTTTACTTGAAACAGGACGACGCATTTAATTAAGCATCCTGCGTTGCTAAGGAGAGTGAACGTTCACATACAGTATTTTGAAATGGTTTGGAGAGCGTCTGTGTTCGTTGTTATTATTATTATTATTATTATTATTATTATTATTATTGTTGTTGTTGTTAGTATTACTTTGTTATTATATGTAATTATTGGAGTGTTTTAGGGGGAAGATAGACAGAAGATATAGAGAGAATAAGAAAGAGAGGATTAGGAAAAAGAGAGAGAGAGTTAAAGTTGAAAGGAGGGGATAAAGAAGACGGAGGGAGATAAAAGGTGACACAGAGAAAATTAAAGAGAAAAATGGAGGAAGAGAAGAGGAGATAGAATAAAACAAACATAGACGAAGAGAAAAGAATAGAGATAATGGATAATGGATAGATGGATATTGAGATGGATAAACAATGGAAGAGCCACCAGACCAACACACAACGATCTCGCTGACCGTACATGTGCTGGTGTGTTTACAGGATATCTCTCTCTCTCTCTCTCTCTCTCTCTCTCTCTCTCTCTCTCTCTCTCTCTCTCTCTCTCTCTCTCTCTCTCATTCGAAGATAGGAGGGAAATTTGACATCTGAGGTGTTGATAATCATATGGTTGTAAGCGAAGGGAATGGTCCAATCTAATCTAGCCTAACTTAACCCTTCCGGTATAACGATAGGGTATGTAATCCTCAGGGTGATTCAGCTAGGGTGGCTAATCTTCAGGTGATCAGTATATATATACATATATATATATATATATATATATATATATATATATATATATATATATATATATATATATATGCATATATATGCAAGCTAGCGTGATCTGGTCACATCTTCTACAGACTCTTCTTTCTCGTGTTCTTCTTTTCCTTGTGTTATCAGCATATACATATATATATATATATATATATATATATATATATATATATATATATATATATATACATATATTTTGGGGACAATTATAAAACAAGAGAGCGTAATCTACTTACTATAAAGTTTCAGCTGAATTCCGGCGTTATTTTGGGGATTTATATTTTTTTCTTAATTTTTCATTTCAACTTTATATCACATCAGTAAGGGAAAAAAGGTTAACGTAATGATCCTTTGAAAATAAAACATCTAGTAATTTCAAACCACTCACAATCCAACACTTATTATAACACTCTCTAACACTGATCTGCACTATGTAGTAAACAGTATTACCGTGGGTGGTCACGTGTCAGGGACTCAGGGGGTCGCGGTCGGCTGCGCAGGATCTAGCGAGGTGGAATGCGCACCTCTCCAACGTGGGTGTAAGCGTTTCCTCTTTTAATCCAGATTTTGGCGGGAACGATCGTGATAATATTTTCCTATTGTTTTTATATTTACAATGACTTACAGGCGGATTGATAAAAGAGAGTTCTATATCAAATAACTTTTTTAATTGTTGGTGATTAGTGAATAGAGTGAGTAAAAAGAAGCGTAGTAATACATTCGTCAATAAATTAATTTCTAACCCGATTATTATATTTTTTTATGGTGAACTTCCCAAGACTAACAAACAAAACAACAAATGATAAAGTATTAGAATTTTATGAAAGACAGGAAATAATCAGATGAGGATATTTGGAGAAATTCTTGAGTCTCACTTGATTTTCTTCCTTACAACTTCACATCAATGATAGTCCCAACTCTCAACTTGCGCGCACACACACAAACAGGCACGCACAAACACACACAAACACAGACACACACACACACACACACGTGACGGACACGAGGTATAGTACATAGCCTGTTCTTACCCTAAAGGATGTTGCCGGGGTCACATGCCATTCGAGAATCTCCCCCCCCCCCCCTCGCACCGCCCGTGTCCCCCACCACCACC